CCATGACACCTCTCACACAAAGGAACCACCATGACATCTCTCACACAGAGGAACCGCCATGACACCTCTCACACAAAAGAACCACCATGACATCTCTCACACAGAGGAACCACCATGACACCTCTCACACAGAGGAAACACCATGACATCTCTCACACAGAGGAACCACCATGACATCTCTCACACAGAGGGACCACCATGACACCTCTCACACAGAGGAACCACCATTACATCTCTCACACAGAGGAACCACCATGACACCTCTCACACAGAGGAACCGCCATGACACCTCTCACACAGAGGAACCGCCATGACACCTCTCACACAGAGGAACCGCCATGACACCTCTCACACAGAGGAACCGCCATGACACCTCTCACACAGAGGAACTGCCATGACACCTCTCACACAGAGGAACCACCATGACACCTCTCACACAGAGGAACCGCCATGACACCTCTCACACAGAGGAACCACCATGACATCTCTCACACAGAGGAACCACCATGACACCTCTCACACAGAGGAAACACCATGACATCTCTCACACAGAGGAACCGCCATGACACCCCTCACACAGAGGAACCGCCATGACACCTCTCACACAGAGGAACCGCCATGACACCTCTCACACAGAGGAACCACCATGACAGGACACGAAGTAAAAGCCATCCGGGAGGGAGGGGCTTACAATAGGTCAGCCACAAACACAGTCTCAGTTTCACACTAATACACATCCTCTAGAATCACATAAACACTCATACTATTCAAACCTGTAGGCATACAGAACACAATTACATAGCAGTCATAACCACACATGATTACAAGATAAAAGCAGACAGGCACACAGTACAAGCAGAAGCAGACTGTTTGCAGTTTAGTCACCTACTGTTTCCTGTGTAGGCATCATCAGTAATGGCTTTGAGAACGTTGTGAAAAGACAAAGATGACGCCTCTCAGAGAAGAGCACTGCACAAGTGAGGACATGCTACCCACATGAAGATATCATTACCAGACAATTCCTGGCACCTTATGACCAATCCTGTTCAGACAGATGGGGCTCATATTATAACACTTAGATACGTCCAAAATGACACCCTATTCTCTACATAGTGCACTACTTTTTAACAGAACCCTATGGGCCCTGGTCAAAAGTAGTACACTATAAAAGGAGTAGGGTGCCATTTGGGATGTATCCCTACAGTATATAAGCATGGTCTTCCGTTGCTTATCACTTCTTTTTGTATGAGCAATACAACAAGATTGTTGGGTTGTTGGTTTTAATAGAATAACAGCTGGGACTTGAGCAGTAACATTGCAGAATGTTGTTGTTGGCTAGACGTCACAAACCTAATCAGCAGAGGAAACAATTGGGCATCATTGAAATAACCATGGTTAAGATACGACACATTTGGCCTCAGTTGTAGATCACTATTGTATTCCCAGACCATGACTATGCCATGGATATGCTTTCTGCTTGGTTTTGGTCTTAATCAGAATTTAGGTTCTGGTCTTAATCAGAGCGATGTGGAACAAAATCATACTGGTTTGCAGGAGCCTGTGTCATTATGGGTCAGATCTGACTCTGGACCGCTCTCTTCTAGCCCATAGTTCATGTTAAAGTTATCCAGCTAATGATCATTCAAAACCTCCAAGAAGTAGCATTGGAGCACAGTTAAGTAACAAGGACATGAGCTTGAAGGGAGGAATGCAAAATAACCAGCTTTTCATTGGGCCAAATTACTCTGGGTTACAATGCTGGGTTATATTATTGTGGTCCTCTGTAGCTCAATTGGTAGAGCATGGCGCTTGTAACGCCAGGGTAGTGGGTTCGATCCCCGGGACCACCCATACGTAAAAATGTATGCACACGTGACTGTAAGTCGCTTAATCGTCTGCTAAATGGCATATTATTATTATTATTATTATATACCATTAGCACCAGTCCTGACAAGATTTCAAATATTAGCCAGAATATGAAAGTGCAGCTCAAGGATCTACAGTCAGCAGGAATGCTGGAGGAAGTATTCTCCAAGGCCTGCTGCATGTCTCTTAAGTAAACCTGTAACCCCCTCATCCTAGCTCTAGTCACTCACTACAAGCATGTGTCCTAAATGGCACACTATCCCCTACATAAAGCATTACTTTTGGTCTAAAGTAGTGCACTACAAGAGAATAGGGTGTAATTTGGGTCAAGGAGCCCAGACTCTTCCAGTCCAACATTACTAACAGTCTACTAAGAGTCTCAGTCCAACACTACTAACAGTCTGCTAAGAGTCTCAGTCTTATCCCCATCTACTCCTTCAGCAGCTCGTTACGGACCCGGGCCCTGAGGGGGGTTCCGGGGGCCAAGGGGGGTTCCAGGGGGCCGAAGGGGGGTTCCAGGGGGCCGAAGGGGGGTTCCAGGGGGCCAAGGGGGGTTCCAGGGGGCCGAAGGGGGGTTCCAGGGGGCCAAGGGGGGTTCCAGGGGGCCGAAGGGGGGTTCCAGGGGGCCAAAGGG